ATACTTACTTTTTAGGTCTTTTCGTACATACACGCATAGATGTGGACCATTCATTTAAAAACACAGAACTCTGTGTGCTTTTGCTTCCGAAACGTTTTATACAGTTTAGCAGAGATTTTGCCCTTAGAAGTAAGGAGAATGAAAAAGCAAGCAGTCGAATATGGCTGCTAATTCTTAGTGCCATTACTGTTGTTGATAATGAAACACTAAAGAACTCTTAAATCTACCTAACTCTAAATTTGAGGAAAATGTTGGTATGTCTTATTACCTAGCTATCTCTGCAATATCATTTAAAAATAAGAAAGAAAAGTTTAAATATTGATATTGTTTATAGATTATATAAACGATTGAAATGTATTGAAAAAAATATTTTTGTTCTATTATTTGCTTAAAGCAATGTTTGGATATATACCGAATGCCTTTAAGTGCGTACATAACTTCAAACCAACAAAAGCTCACTATAATTTAAATATTGCTGATCAAGAAATTGACAAATTATACAGATTGTTGCGCTTGGTATTTGCTGTTGTGCAAAATTTAAATAATACAGGTCTATTAAATCCAATTCGGTTGATGTTATTTGTAAGCGCACCGGCTGTCGTACTGGTCATTATTTCAATTGACGCTATCTTTGATTATCCATGTATCTGTAGCATTATAGTTGAAATATAACGATATGTTAATCACCATAGTACGAGTCGCAGTATTCCAGCACTTACTGGTGTACCTAAAGGTATGCAAATGAACCGCTTATTTTTGTGCTTTATGGAGGATTAAAGATTAATTTGCAATCACCACAGTAGCAATCGCCAGCTCAGCTTTTATTGTAATTATTATTATACGTAAATTTGTTGTCGTCAAATGTAGAAATCAAACAATTGGTTTATTCCTATTTTTTCATAAACTTTGTTCTATGAAGTCGACACATTAAACCGAAATCATCATTTTCGTTTATTCTGTAAAGTGCTGTTTTCTTTTTTTATTATAAGACTGTCTTAATTTAAATACATCAGAAATTCTGAAACCTATTTAATGACATACTAATGACTTATCACGAGGATGTTATTTCTGTATTATGGGAATTACGGGAACCACCGACATTTCGCATGCACCTATTTTTACGTAAATAGGGCATTTTATAATTGAATTTCCTGGAATTGTAGCAGATGTAAAAATGAAGCTAAGACGCTGAAATTTGATACAAGCACTGCTCGATTAAGAACCTAAGTTAAAGAAAGGCCCACATGCCCGCCTATAATAGATTTGAGAAGCAGACTATCGGTCAAATTAATCCATTTTTGTACCTTGAAAACAAGAACAAATAGAGAAAAATTCATTATAGATATGTTGGAACTTTATATGGCTTATAATCATCTTCAAAGCGCAAAATGTGAAAACGTGACGCAGGCAGTAGTTGTAGAGGGCTAAATGTCAAGTTCCTATACTGAAGAGCAGAAGTGCATATTCTGCGAACCCTTCTACAACACAAGCGTAACTTAGCGACTGTCTTACGTGCCTTCAGCAAAATTTATATGAAAAAGAGAACGTTTCCACATTTCTGCAAACTTGTTTAAAAAACTTTGCGCACGCGGAGAACATTATGAAACGAATTAAACTATAAAAGCAACATCAAAACAGCTTAGAAATTAGGCGCGTAAAGCCAAAAAGTGCATATTTATATATAATCAGGGATATCAAGCAACAGCAATCAATATTATTTTTGAAAGAGAAATCCGCGCGCATTTCGGAGTCCTTTGGTATTCGTGTTAACTTACTACAAAGACTCCTCTTATATTAACTGCTTGACATCTTGTTCTCATTATTTGTATCGCCAAAAATTCTCTTCCACGATACGTTTACGGTAAAATGGTGTGCACGAGGGAATTGATAATTTTATTTAGTTCAATTATGTTAATACATATTCAAAAATATAATTGGAGACTTGAAGTCTAACAATTTTGCATAGTATCTTAAAATAGTCAACACTTACACATCGTTGTTATTATTCTGATCTCTTTGCAATTATCTTACTTTAGTATATATGTGTTATGATTAAGATACGCAAAAATCTGGGTAAAATTGGTTGACTTAAAAATACATTTTTGAGTTCAAAATTAATAATATCAGGGAAAAATAAAAAGAGATCTTAGCGATATTTTTCAAATAGAGGGATAGCAACGTAAACGAAGTAGCGCTATTAGATTAGTAGGCCTATGACCGCTCGATCTGTCATTATCGTTATATTTATTATCAACATTTTTAAATATGTTTCAAGCGGTATTTTATGCCATCAGTTTCAAAATGTGCATTTTTTATTTATTTGAAATGGCCAATTTCGCGAAATAGATTCCATGTCTAGACGCCAAAATTTCTTTAATTTATTCGGCACAATAAACCTTTGCCCCTAGTGGTTTTAACTAAGATGTTTCTGCGCTAAAATTTTTATATGATAAGAAGGTTTCACTCGTCACTTGTTATTTCTTTTCGTCAGTTGATAGTAAAGTGTAAAAACGTGTTAACCACAAACAATCTTCATGGATAGTAATTTTGCCACAAGATACTTTATTTTGTGCAGTGAGGAACAAGTGTCATATCCGAAAGAAGATCACGATATTCCGACATAGTTTTCCGGGCTGTCACAAATTGCGTAAGTTAAAGCTAGGACTAGGATTCTTCAATATTTTTAGTATGACATAAAGTCGTTCACTCACTCGCTGCAATCACGTTAAAATTATTTTTGCTACTGTATTTTTAAAATAAAGAATAGTGCATAATCCTTACATATATTATGTGGAGTAAGTCATGCGGAATAAATAGACGATAACAAGCTTTATATAATGTTTTCAGGGCGGGAAGTAAAGATAATTGATTTTTATTACCTTCAATTTAAGTACTAAAGATAAAAGTCATCTAGTTACTTTCATAACGTGTAAGCGTGATTTTTCAAGCTCTGATTTTAATTAATAGTGAGTGTTTTTGTGATACTTAAATAAAGAACCCAGGTTATTACTGTGTCCAAAAACGAAAGACCAATTTAATTTTTTTTCTTAAATCTATTTATTATATCAAGTGTATTTCGTCGCCTTCATAGTAATCCTCAAACTGTAATAACATTTCTTATAAACGGGCGCGGCGAAATCAATTTATAGTGCATAATACGACGAAAATCAAAAAAAAAAAAAAACGGTTAACATCACGGCAGCTAGTTTTTATATTAAATATTAGGTGCTTGCATGTACTTCGTACATTCTTTCACTTGAAAAAGGCATTTAGTGGGAAAAACTGGTCCAATATTTATCTTTCCAACATGCTGTTGAAAAAACGTTTGGCAACAATCCATTTGCGCATTTCTCACTTTTTCGAAACCGCGTGCCGGCCAAGCTATACTGCATCGATCTAAACAAATGATGCGGCAGAACTTCCCGTTCCCGAGCGCTCTTACGAAAGAGGATGGTCTTCCGTCTGTTCACCGCTCTTGCTGGTCTTTTCTGCAGCAATACATCGTCTAAGTTGTTCAATTGACGTCGGTACACATTTGCAGTAACAGTTTCGTTCGGTTTTAGCAGCTCGTAATACGCTACACCTTACTGATCCCACCACAAGCACAAGAAAACTTTATGGCTATGAACACTCCTTCGCTTGACTGTCGATGTGGATGGCTCTACTGAACAAACCTACCTTTTTGCGCTTTTATTTATTTCTTCTTTTTTTGACTGAAAGGCAATTAGACCGCAATGTTGAAACGGTTCAAAATAGCATATTCAATCAATTCGTATGGTAGTCATTTTTATTATTTTTGCATCTTTCCCATCGCATGGTAACGTCTAGAAACAGTTAATTCATTAACTGCTACGCTGTTAAAAAGTTCTTTAACGGTTTTAGCTGAGTTTGCATCAAATAACTCTTCGAACGTTTTTGTGCTCCTTCTTTATCATTGACATCAATATCGCAACCTTTATACCGTTGTAATCAAAACCGACAATTGGAATATGATGAAGCAGCATATTCATAAACTTATAAAAGTGTTTGGGCTTCGGCAGAAGATTTTTTCATAATGGTAATGAATGTCGAAAACGCAATTTTGAGCGTTCCATGATAAGCATTTGGATACACTCAATAACTCAATAATACTAAATGGAAGAGTATTATTATACCCATCACCGTTTCCAACGCGGAAGCATCAGAGAGCCCGCAAAGTATATAAATTCGTAGCCTGTTTCAAATTTGCAATCTACGTAAACATGTCCGCCTATTCGTCTGTCCATCTGTCTGTTTGCGTAACTTTGTAGTAATTATGGTAAACATTCTCCCGTTATCGAAAATGTGGATATCGCCTAAAAATTTGCAAAAGAATTTGGAATTAACCTAAATTTGCAAAGGACATGCCTACAATGCCCACCTGCCTGTACGACAAAGATTTTAGTTTGAAAATAGAAAAAATCAGCTGCACCTACTCCATATTACGGAGCATGAAAATTTTGTTGTTTTACTTCTTTTGTCTTTTTTTTGGGTAAATGGTGATGGATATGAAAGATTTGGTCCCGACCGAATTGGGTTTTCTTATTTTTTTATGTAGAAAAAGGTTGAAATCATCTAATTTAATCTTTGCGTATATTGATACTACCCATTGCTTTATTATTTTCACCAATAGAGTTCGCTGATCAAAATACATGGAAGCACTTATTATTAGGATCTATCGGCACGAATTCGCGATTTTTTATGTGGCAGTAAAAATTTTCGTTAACTCTGTATCAACTACGGTGACTTTAATTCGCATTTCTCTAAAGGAGAAGAGATAAAGCGTTCGATGATATGTGCGATCGTTTTAATAAATTGCAGAATATGCTTAATAATATTAAGTCATCACCTATCGAAGCGTCCACATGAAGTCAGGCTTCTCCAAAGGCACTCCTTTAACGGGACTGGTAAGACCACCACTTCGAACAAGAGTGTTATCTATGTTAAGTTAAATTGATTTAGTGAGCGGAACATCTGCCTAAATATAAAAGTAACAAAAGATACTCTCATAACCAACTACCTTTGCTTCAAAATGCGCAATGTTTGGCGTTACGAAAGGTTTGGTTATTTTTCTACCCAACGAACCGATATTTATATCGCATTTTGCAATGAAGGTTGATATAAATTATTTCATAAAAGGTAAATAAGGTTGGCATATTGAGATCGGCACAGTTAAATTCACAATTAAACCTGGCGTATAATGACGCTTTTATACAATCGCAGTAAATCATCGTTTAAGCTTGTTGTACCAGACAATTTTTATGATATAAGTGATCTGCACTTTTGGCCTTCAAACATATTCCTTCGTCTATACAAATGGAAGGAAAATATAAGACTGTCCATCTTCCGTTAGTTAACAAAGAAATAAATGAGAGAATAATCTATCGCTTAGCTACACGTTCGTAAAGTTAACTCAAAACTATCTGCACTGTTGGTTGATATCTATTCCCTAAGTTACGTCGACTTACTTTATATTGGTATGGTAAAATCATCAATTTTGAATTCTGACTGATGGGTACAATATTTATAGATACAGTCGCACAAATAAATTTACAGAAATAACCAAATATATTTTTACTACATATAAGTACTTACAAACATGTTAAAAAGTTATGAAAAAATTTTTTAAAAATATTTGAAATACGTATAAACATACGCTAACGTAAAGAACAGTCTCCAATATACAAGTTAAAACAACACGGTCTGCAAAGTATTCGACGTTTATTATGTAAGCATAAGAAATGAAATAGACGAAATATAAAAAGAACTTACTAAATATGAAAAGTCATATATAGAAATATGCATATAATATTGGGTAATCCTACAAGTTGCTATCTCAACATTGTTAATTATTTGACTTTAAAATGCGAAAAGGAGTAAAAGTGTGGTCTGTAAATACAAAAGCAAACCGATAAAAAATTTTGCTTAGTAATCAATCCGTGAACTTATTGAAATAACACCATAATATGTAGCTCATTTTTCAAACAAAATAACGCAGATTGAGTTTTAAAAATTCAATAATGAGATAAATGGAGTTGCACAACCGCAATTAACTCAATAATCGCATACTATTTGAAAAAATCTTTGTAAATGGTGGATAGAGATATCGTAAAATGTGACAAAAATATTCCCTTCAATATCAAAATTTATATATGCAAGGATAATAAAAGTTCTAAAATTTAAAATCATATTAACAAAGAAAGAATTACTTTACAGTTCACATACCTTAAAATTATAATAAAATCATATCTGAATTGAAATCATACGTTAAATGACGCCCAGAAAAATTGTTCTCGACAAAAGCGTAAACCCAGTAATTTGTGTAACATATTATTTTATGTAAAAAACAGGCTTTCAAACTTTACATGCAGTTACCCTTGCTACCATACAACTTTCAACTCGATGATGATTTTATGCAATAATTAACTGACTATACTATTTCCACTTCTAGTGTAGAACTCATAAACTAAAAATCGCAAAAATTATGATCGAAAACAGATGAACCAGATGTTACTTGTTAAAAAATCGTTTGGAATAAAAAACAGAAAAAAAAACAAAGATAGCGAATCGTTTTTACTTGTTTTTTTATAATGGTTTGTACATTTCAATTTTTGTAATTCTAAAATGGGATATGTTTGACATATTGGAAAATTTTATAATATATCTTAATAAGTCTGCATTTTTATAGCATATCTGCGTAAATCATGGGGCAATGAATTTTAAAATCATCGCGCTTTGTATTGAGGATTCTTAATTAAACAGATGGACGTACGAACAAGAAAATAAGATGAAATTGGCCACAGACGCATTTTAAAAGGTTTGGCCAGAATTGACTTTTTGCGTTCAGCTCTAAATAAAGGGAGCAATAGACATGAAACGAGGAAATTTGCATACACGATATTGTTCCATGGTTAAAACAAAAAATTACAACACGTTTTAGTAAAGTTTCTTTTATTTGGGAAATGCATACTAATTATTTAAATGCAAAATAAAAAAGAAAACAAAGTATAGATACAGAACGGAGAGAAGTATTATTGAACACTTTTTAAAAATGTTTTTGAAGTAAACAAAACAATTCACATTTTCATTGAATAGTAAGTAACCTTATCGTTATTTGTAAGTACCTTTTTCATAATTATGAACTTGCTTTATATAGTTAACAGTAAATTATAGTATTGAAATGGTGGCCAATTCTCTGCTTAATATCGATCTACATACAAAGCATGCTGATATATAAGAAATCTACCTTCGGAAGGTAAGCTAAGGTAATATTCAAACCAAAAACCGAAAGTAATTAACGATTGAAGAAAACTGAATATAGGTGGCAATAAATTGTGTATTTATGGCTGATACAGCGGACCAAATCAGAGGAAATCAAGTGCCATCGGCGTTCAAACGACCTCAGAACTTATTACGAACAGTGAACTAAATACACGTAAAATTTATATAAATATGTATGTGCTAAAGATGTGTATGTATTTTAGTGCAAATAAATATGTAGCCTAAAAGTGTACAGCCTCAGTAAAGAGCGTCAGGTGTAGATCGTATGTATGTAAATTGATTGAATGAAATTAACGTACAAATTTTGGCTCTTGAAAGTTCAATATTTTTTAAAGTACCTATTAATATATATTTTTTTGATATTCGTCAATTTTAAATTTCTTTGCATGTATTATTTTTCATACATTTTTGGTACGATTCACTATAATAAATGTATTGATATTTTCCAGTTTTTTTTTATTTTATTTTTTTTACGATTGCGAGCATCAAGTATGTATTTATTTTATAAGGCGTAATACCCAGTAACGATCCATTCGAGAAAATAAAAGGTGTCGACCCTAGTTATTAGTGCTAGTCTACATTAGCCTTTCAAAAATAAAGTTGAGTTTACAAGACCTTACTTTAAGTGGAATGTTTCTGGACATTATGTGCTAGTTTTTTGAAATGAGTTTTTGTTTATATTTCTATAGTTTGTTCTTTATGGAAACAAGTATTATTATGAAACTACAGTTCAGATTTTTCCTTACTATTTCATTATGTAAAAAGCATTGCACTTTTTTGAGTTTCAGCAACTCTTACTGTGTGTGTATGTATATGCATACATAAGTTACTCACTTGACGAAAGTTTTGAACACCTTAATAGTTACTTTAAGTAAAATGTTGATTTCGTATTATTTCATTTTATTCAGCCGACATAATATTGTGCACTTGTTCTAATTTAAAGGCAAGCCGTTGCTTTTGTGAAAATTCATCCTCTTCCAATGTCACTGTTAATTGCTCATTATATTTTACAGCGTAAGTGTACAATTCATGGAGGGCACAATTTGTATTAAACTCTGTGGTATGAAGCTAAAAAATTTAACGAAATGAGAAATTAAATTATTTTACTGATACGTTAGAAATGAACGGAAAGATATCGTTCGGGATAAAGTTAGTTGCATCAGAAATCAGGTGGTATGTAGCGATGGTATCATTGGTGTGCTCTTATAAACCCAAATTTGGTTTGTTTGCTTCTATCCAGATTCTTAATGTGCTGATTTAATACGAAGCAACACAGTTATTTTTAGAATATGGGCGATAAACATTGTGCAGTGTAGGAATTTTGAGTTGTTGCGTTTCTTTAGGTACCAAAAACACGGACAAATAATTGAATACACATGTAGAAATTTGTAAAGCTAATTCATCGTAAAAATGGTTGGTCCAACTGGAAGCAACGCTCTAACTAACCTGGATAAACGAATGGAGGATAAAATTGGATGTTATCGATAAATCAGAATGTTTGGCTAAATCCTTGCGTCTCATTGTGTTCCGTATTAGCTAAATTCCGTTGGTTTATTTTCAGTATAGCCAGATATTGCCACCTTGTGTCATTTTTTAATTATTAAAAACAGGCCTTTATACGATACTTATCAAAGAAGATGGTTTCATTGTCCGACTGATTCTGTGCACGGTTTAAAAGAGCTTACAAAATACGCATCACGACCTTCCCGAGTGCATAATATATTACGTTTTCACTTACTCTTGATTCCTCAGCGAACATCGCGTTCATATCTTGGTCAGATATCGGTGGCATTTCTCGTATATCACGATAGTAACGATCTACCCACTTTCGGTACTCGGGAATATCTTTAGCGTATAAAAGTTTTGAGCTAGGAGAATCTTTGCCTGAATAAGAAAAATATTTGCATTTCTTATGATTAATTCTGTGCATAATAATCAATACATACCTAATCTATGGTCCGAAGTTGAACAAGAGTCCATAAATGTTTGCGCTACCACTGATAAGCAAGAGTCAACGATATTTGACTTGTGTATATCAAACACAAAATTTGGATTTTTAATTAGGTTAACCCAAAATCTAAAGCAAAAGCAAGCAAAAATACAATAGAGTTTTGAATATTATATCTTATTCAGGTGAACAAATCAGCCTTCCTTCAGTCTTGTTAAGAGCAAAAACTTATAAAATTTTATTCAAACGTGCAAAAAGAATGTCTTGCGCACATTGCCATAATTCAGCACTTTTCTAAGAAAGATATTAAGCACTCACGTTCAAAAGTTGGTATTTATACTTCGATTCATCGCAAACAGAAATATTTACAGCTTATACCCACCTTAATGGCAAACTATTACTTTTCCAGGTGTGAACAACTTCAGGATCAGTAATACCATGTAGCAAAGCTTGATCGTCAAGAAAATCAAACATATATTTAATAGCTAAAGGCAAAGCTGAACCACGGTGTGCAGTACTAAATATGGTTTCAAACAAGTCATCAACAAATTTCTGTAACGTTCCTTTAGTTGCCAACAATCGCGTCAAATAAATTTCCGACACTAATTTGTTAACACGTTCTCCTTCCTTTTGCAAATCGTTATCGTGATGCTTGACCAAGTGCCAATACTTGATGCCATTTTCATGCAGTTCATTATTTAGGGGGCTTCCGGCTCGGCTGAAGGTCGGTGAAGACGATGTATACTTCGATAAGTTAAGAGTTTCATACCTGTCAAATTAAGTATATAAAAAGTTTTTTAATGTTTTCACATATTTATATTTCTCCACGTTACTTGTGAGATTTTTCATTTTTGTCCGATAGTATGGAGAAGTTGTATATTGAACTTTGCTTAGGTACCAAACTTAAAGTAGCAACATCCGGTACGTTATAGTGTTGCAAAGTGTTAATTTTTTTCCACTCGTTTTCGGTTTTTGATGTTGTGTCCTCGTCGTATAAAATAACACGACCTGAAGCACCGGTTCGCCATTCTATAAAAAGAACTGAATTAGTAAACACGTCAAATCATATTGCTCAAGCCGAATATTTTGCACACTTAGTGTATAGATTTGAATATAAAGACAGCTTTGGAATTATTTTTTGTAAATAAATATTTCATCTTCATGCATAAGTTAAGTAGTAAGAGTGTTGGCTAACTTTAATAAATTTCATATCTATTTAGTAAAAAACTGATTTTAATCGTTTAATTACATGCTTTCAATGTGTTTTCAGGCTTATTACTTGTCTTTTCTGGAAGACATGACAGGTTTAACCGAAGAAGTCTTCCAAGCACATTTCGTTTCTGCTCATAAGGGTAGCAACATATAAAATATAATGAGACAATCCAAAAAACAAACACAGTCTCTTCAAGATAAAATTAAAAGGAAACAGCACAGAAAACAACAATGGAAACAATGGAAAGTCTACTTTTCACTGTAATAGGAATGATCCCACGGCGAGTAGCGCCTTTGATTCAACTTTTACTAATTTGCTTATTTGAGACTCCTAATTGGCAAAAGCCAACACTCTCCCATTTTATTTCGAAGTCACAGCAATTGAGTAGAAAAATAGAAATATCATTTCATGCAATCTTTGAATGGGCTGTCTGTCTAAAATTGATCTTCCGTTCGACTTGTCATCAATTCAAAGTGTACCTAATTTTCATTTTACAGAATAGATTTATTCCCAAGAAATTCATGTCAAAAAGATATTGCCCAAATGCAAAAATAGTAGATTGGTTCCAGACCTAATAAGCAGCTGAAAAGTACTATAAACAATGTTAAAAGTTTCTTGCTAGAGTTCACTTAACAAATTATTTCTTGGTTAGACATTTTAATATTATAAAAACTAAATTATGGAAAATCAAACGAAACTGCGTAAAAAATACATTATACCTTCACTCTATACATAATTTGTACTAGTACAAAGTATATAAGGAGAAGTAAAGAAAAAAAAACGAAAAAAGCATATACACAACTGGTTGCAAACCCGCAACCAGTACAGATCCTAGTTGCAAGTGAACGCCTAAGCCATTGCAAATATGCGAGATGTTAAAATTGCAAGTTAGTTTAAATATGACATAGGCAAATCGCGCGCATTAAGCATATTTGTTTTGATAGGCTTAATAGATTCCGGTATTGATATTAAGCGATAGGTTTCTGCAAACAACTCTGAACGAATTAAACAGCTTATAATTATATTTCCATTGACTAAGCTTAACGAAAATAAAGTGCCTAGAAAAGCGATTAGAGACATTAAAGTTTATCTCCCCAAGTAATGTGGGCGAATCGATAGTATCATTTATTAACTGAATTCAGAAGCAAACACCAAGAATGTGCGTTTCTCAAGTGACGGTAAGGATAACAGAAGCAACCTATTTTGATAAGGGGGAAGAAAGACAATCGGCTCCCAACCCATATTCCTAGGAGCAAAGAGGAAAAATTTCTTTTGAATCATAATACCTATAGGAAGAGGACCACACAATAAAGGCATACTCAAGTATTGGTTTAACTAAGCACATGAATGGCCTTCTCGTAATGTAAGGATCCTTAAGCCCTTTGGACCATCTTTTAATGAAACCTAGCACTGAGCTAGCCCCAAATCGATCAACGAATTTCGTTGATCTTTTTCCCACTTGTGTGAATTAATGAATTTCTTGTGTGCATTAATGAATTTTATTCTCGTTGAGAACGAAAATTTCTTGCATTTTTTTAAATTTCATTTCATAAAATTTAACGAGCACCATGTAACCAAATTATTTATGCCAGTTTGAACCTGATACGACTGCTATTCCAAGGAGAAAGAAGAAAACTAATTAACATTGTCAGCGTACATTAAAATATGGCTGGATTTAATTGACGAGAGGATATCATTAATGTATAGAATAAATAAAAAAGTCCTTATTGGCTGTCTTGAGGGACGGCAGACGTCATGAGGTAATGAACTTAAACAAAGCCCTGAATGATCTGTTATGCAGATGAGAGCTTATCTATTTCACCAAGTACAAACAGAAGTCAGAGGCCTAGAGTTTAAATATCAATAAGTCATGGTCAACTAAGTCAAACGTTTTACTGAAATCGATATATACGATATCCGTGCGAGAGCGACTTGAAAGACCCTTGAAAACATGGCAAGTAAACTCCGAAAGCCACGCTGGAATGGAGAAATATAAGATTTGATAACAAAAGGTAAATGCTGAGTAACAATTCGCTCAAACAATTTAGGTAAGACGCTCAATTTGACAATGCCTCTATAGTTCTTGACATAATGTCTATTTCCACATTTGAGAAGCGAAATAAGGAAACTACCCTTTCATCACAAAGGCAAAACATCTGATTTCAAGAACTGGTTAAAAATCATTGAGATAACACCACTTTGCTCGACAGAGCATGATTTGAGTATGCATTATGGAATGCTATCAGGCCCAGGCACAAAACTATATTTTAGAGATTTGAATCGTCTAAAACATTTTCTAAAATGACCGAGTTAGGAATCAAAACCGAGTTACTTGTCGGAAGCGCATAGTTAACACCTAAATCGGAATTAGGCGTTGAAAAATTTTGGCGGAAATGTTCAGCAAACAGATTTAACGTTTAATTATCACCAGAGGACTCAGAGCCATTGAAAGAAACATGCGAGGGATATCCCTTTATATATAATTCCTTTTGGAGTTCACAAACTAAAAAAAAAAATTTGGGATTAACAAGCAGTGAGGATTTTGTCAACTGAAGGTATCTGCCATAACACTGGTGGTTGAGATAAATAAATCCATGTCCTGCAACAGAATAGGCGAAATATTCGTAAGCGGGAGCACTTTTCATACAGTTTTTGAAAAGTTTTTTTTTTTTATTTTTGTGATATTTAATTGTTTTGTTAAACCACGGCGAGGTTGCTTGATCGGAAAGAATTAAAAAATATCGAAACTTAACACATTATAGAACGATGGCAGTAAGGTTTCAATATTTGTAGCTGAGAAATCGAGCATAATGTGTGAAAGATGAGATTTAAGCAGCAAAATATTAGTTTTGTTAAAGTCATAATATTTATTGGAAAATGTTGGATTTGGCACGTTAGAGTGTTTTAACAGACCATCATGCCTGTAATGCAAATTGGTGGATGATATGGATCCTCAGGTAAACTAAAAGGTGGACAGCTATCTTCGGGAAATTGGCAAATCAATAATCGAGTAATATGTCATTACAATTAGGAGTACGGTGGTATTGTAGTACATAACGATCAAATAATTCATCGAAAAACATAACAGCTCTACCAGATGTTGAAGTTGGGGCCGTACAGCCAGAATTGTCACTATAGCACCACGTAACTTGTGTGAAATTGAAGTCCCCCAATGCTATGACTATATCAGCAGGTTTAGACTTTTCGGGCACATTACAAATAAGGGCAGCATGTTTTTTATAAATAGATATATTCGCATTTGGGGGAATATAGAAGCATACATATAACTGCTTACTGACAATTTTCGCAAGAATAGCAATATATTCAACGTCAGAAGGAGTAAGAAATTCAAATCAATAGGACGAGACTGCAACAGATGTGACAATTAAAACAGTGCGATCCAAACGATCTTTTCTGGAAACCTAGAAAGAATTGTGAGAAAATTCCGATATATGCAGATCAGGCTTTAACCAAGTTTAAGTAAAACCCAAACAAGAAAGCTCCGCGCTTACTGAATTGAAAAAAGTAGAGCGAATTTCCAGCGAGTTTAGGCCCTTAACATTTTGGTAAATGAAAGTTACTAAACCTAAAACGACTTTTAATTTTGTGAGAATAAAAGGATTACCTAATTAGTTTTACGGTGTCGATCCCGAGAAATGAATAATCGAGGAATGAAGGATCCAACCGGCTTCAAACAGACGACATCTGTATTGGGAACGATATGATTTGCGGGCACAGAAGTTTGAGTCAGGGAGAAAATGGGCGGAGTTGCTGCACTTACTTTTGCTGCTAGTGCGACTTACCGAGGGAGAGACGGAATTGTTATTCTTATTAATATTCTTTGGAGATGAAGACAAAGTAGCCTGAAAGACACAATTGGGATAACCCCAGCATGGCTGACATGAGGAGGGCTTCCCGGCTTATTTGTAACTTTTGCATTACTGGCTGAGTTTGTGATAGAAGAAACGCTAATGTTCTTTGTAGACAAAGACGGAACACTCGAAACCTTAATCGAATGGCAGACCCACAAGGTTTATCGTTGACTATAAAAGATAGAGGACGAAGAAGAATGGTGGCAAGCAACATAAATCGACGTATGAGATTTAACCGTACACAAAAGTGAGGTACCGTACGGAACACTACAAGATGTTCTTTTAGAGGCTACAGGAGGGGACCAGTGCTCTGGATAGAGGCAATCATCGAACATTCTTTTAATTTTTTCAAACTTTCCGTTCAATGTTACGAGATTTTTACTTAATTCAGAAAGACTACTCCTTGTCTCCGTGAAAAGTTTATAAAAATCAATATCCACCTTCCTGCAGTCGGGACATGACCAATGTAATCCTTTCGAAGGAGCTAGGACTGCGTTTGTAGTACAGCCAATAATACTTGCATACTTTGCTTGACAATAACCCACGAAAAGTCAAGAAATAATGAATCGCTCACAATCAGCGATTGTTTGGGTTCGACATGATGTAAATAAATAGTCCATGTCAGAAAGCAATAGAGAAAATAGAATCTGTGGAGAAAGAAAAAACAAGCAGGTTTGACACATATTCAATAATGATCTCTTAAATAGTTCAATATATTCCAATAAATTTAAACACTTTTGTAATTAATTAGGCTTAAAACCGTATAAAGCAATAAACTAAAGAAGAGACTACAACATTCCTACATAAAGTAAAAATTACTATTACAGCGCGTTTAGAGTTGCTAAACCGTACAATCGACATAGTCCACCCGAATTATGAAAATTATAACACGATGTTACGACGCCTATTTTTGAGGAGTGAGAGTGAAAAATTCATAGCATGAAAAAAAAAGTTCA